TCCTTGCTGAGAATGTGTATTGCCGGGTGATTCTTCTGGGGACCTTGCTTCAGTATAGCTGGGGTGGCAATACAAATTCTCAACAGGTGGTTGAACCGAAAGGAAGGAGTTGGAAGTCTTGGGTCTGAGGGAGAATTGTCTGACTCCTGAAAAATTGGTGTTTGGGGGTGAGAGGATACTGATATTTTCATATCCAGACTTTCCATTAGTCCCCCCTGTTCCCATATCTCTCCCTGGCCTCTCTGAATTCAGAATCCCATGAGTTCCTTTGGGTTTGTATTCCAGGTCAGTTGTTCTCAGAAACTTAGTTGTATAGTGAGCTCACCTGGGCTTGACCCCAAAGTATTGTCCCCTGGGCTTGACCCCAAGTATTCTGCTGTGATGGGGCTGGGGGCTGGATCTGTCTCACCAGACACCCTCTTCCATCTCCTTCTGTCTTCCAGGTACCCGTGGTTGCTCAACGGCACACTTAGAGTAGATTTACTTATGGTTGTAAGGTGTTTGAAAAAGGAGAGGAAACACACACACATAATTCATAAACACCTTGAACAAGAAGTCCAAAGCCTAATTTCCACTTCCCAAATCTCTAATGACTGCTGGTTTGCAGTCTAATTTAGGGAATGCAAACAAACTAGCAATCAATTCCAAGCACACCCCACTCTCTCCCACTCCTCTAACTTCACTCCTGCTGCCCCTGGTAATAGCTAATCTCAGATATGAGCTATGCTGGGGGTAGATCCTCTCTGCCACCCAAGACCACTCTACAGTCTCAAGGGCCACCTTCTCACATCAGCAAAGTCAGAAGCAGGGGCCAGTGGGCAACATAGAATGGGTAATGTGCTGACTGAAGTTAGTCAATTACAAAAGGATAAATATTGTATGAGACCACTGTTATAAAAGAAAAAATCAAGATAAAGATTATTTCACTTTTGATACTTTCTTAAACGACTTGTAGTTGTCCATTGGATATATGTACCAGTTTATTTAACCATTCATCCACCAATGGGTATATGTTGTTTTCATCTTCTTGCTACTGTGAGTGATGGGTGTGTATATATATGTTCATGCTATGGCTCATTTCTTTAGGGTATATACCAAATAAAGGGCTAATTGGGCCATGTGGTATTTCTATTCTCAGTTGCTTGAGGAAGTACATTACCCCTTTCCACAGTGATTGTAGTCTTACCAACAGTGTATGAGCATTATGATCTCTCTGTACCCTTTCCAGCATTTTTTTGGGTTTTGTTTTATCTTTGAACTTTGTTATCAATGCTGGGGTGAGATGGTAGCTCATCCTTGTTTTGATTTGCATTTCTCAGATGGATAGTACTGATGAGCATTTCTTCTTGTGTTTGTTGGCTGCCTTGTTGTCTATTTGGGATTATTCATCTTTTTCTTGTTGAGGTGTTACAGTTTTCTACAGACTTTAGATATTAGTCCCTTGTCCAACACCTCACTACTAAAATATTTTCCCAGTCTGTGGGTTCTTTTACTCTTTGATACATGTAAATGTCTTCTTTTTTGGAATCTCCCAGTCCTCTATTTGTCTTCTGCTGTGTGTGTTTATGTTTGAAAGTATGTTTATGCCATATATTGGGGCCCTTAAGCTTGTCCCTATTCTTTCATTGATGATCTTTCTATTTCTTGGGTTACATTTAAGTCTTTTGTCCATCTTGAGCTCATTTTTGTATATGGAATAGGATATGGGTTCTGTTTCATTATCCTGTAGTTGGATATCCAATCTTGCCAGCAACTTTTCTTCTTTTTTTTTTTTAAATCATTTTATTAGGGGCTCATACAACTCTTATCACAATCCATACACATATCAATTATGTAAAGTGCATTTGTACATTCATTGCCCTCATCATTCTCAAAATATTTTCTCTCCACTTAAACCCCCGGCATTAGGTCCTCATTTTTCCCCTCCCTCCCCGTTCCCC